ATACATTTTTAAAATAGTGTAATTTTGGACACTTAACTTGTATAACTTTTATTACAAATTTTTATGTGAACTATATTGTTACATGTAAACTGTACAAAGATATTAGATACTTTACTTAATATAGTGAGTAAACCCATTACCTTAAATGTGACTATTAAAAAAAACATTACTTGGAACTGTTACGATGATTTAACTTAATTTTTACATTATGCACAAAGTCAATTTACTTAAATTTAAGGCAATTGGTTAAATCACTTTTTTAAAATCACTAATCATTTTAGTAAGCAACCTGTTTACCCACTATTATTTAAAGGGATATAGTTCACCCACATATGCAAATTCTTTCATCATTTACTCATTCTTTAATTGTTTCAAACCATTATGAGTTTCTTTCTTGTATTGAACACAAAAAAAGATATTTTAAAGAAAGCTGTGAATCTTTAACTATTGAAGTCTGTTTGTTTTTCTTTCTATGGAAGTCAGTGGTTACAGATTTTCAGCTCTTTAAAATATCTTCTTTTGTGTTTAACAGAAGAAAGAAACTCTTAAAGATTTGGAACCTTTTGAGGGTCAGTAATTAGTGAGCAAATTTTCATTTTTGGGTGTACTGCAAGTAATGTCAGCTAATCACTTTTTACATTGTACTGCTCGAACAGGAAAGTCCACCTAAGTGCATGTGCAACTTTGTCCTCTGGTTATTTTCCAGACTGGTTTTCATGGGGATGATGGATCCAGTTTTACCCTCACATGGGCTGGAAATGGAACTGGGGTTAGTCATTCTTGGCAAATCTTTCAAAATGATACAGCTGTAGATATATTGATATAACACATTAGTTCTCTATTTTAAAGATATTGTGCTGATGGTTGAACATTGCATCTTTTCACTCATACTTGGTCTGTCTATCAAATTTAATTTCAAATCAAAATGATTTGTTCATTTTAGATAATCTTCGTCCTTTCCACAATCAGTGTTCCTTCTGATTCATTTTATGAAGGTGGTTCATCACGCCTTTATAGGAGGTCAGTAGAGAACTTTTTATACCTGTTCTTAGATAACTTGTAGAATGCAAAACCATCTGGCTTTTACACCTTTAAAAATAATATAGCATACACAATTTTAGGTAGATGGCGATCTCAAAAAAGCCTGGTTTTTCCTACAAGATATATTTCTATGCAACCAATTTCAACTTTCTTACTGTACTAATAACTTTAATCTTGTTTATAGTGAAGACTATGGGAAGTCTTTTCATGATATCTCTCATGCCATCAACAACACATTTTTAAATAGCTACTTTGGCATAAGTGCTGGACATGGGAACCCTCAACCGGTAAAAACATGTTAACATTTCATTTACATTTATTGATGAAGCAGATATGTTTATCTAAAGGGATTTACAAAAGAGCAGCAAAGCAATTCAGCAAAAAGAAGAAATGCACAAAAGATTGTGTGTGTATGTGCATTGTGTGTATAAGTTCTTATTAAGGTGGTGTGTCTTCAGCTGTTGAATGTAAGATGTTAGAATTTCAGTAAAATTAAGTCTGTAGTTATAGATGTAGTAATCTCTGGGAAATGTATCACTGGTCTTTCAAAGTCTTGTTTAATAATACTAATCTTGTTTAATAATAATTCAACTGCTCGTTACCCCACATATCTATAATCTACTGATATGGCAGCAGCTTAATGCATTCAGGGATGTTGTAATAATGTGTTCAGTAATGTTCAATAATGTGTACAATCAGCAAATCTATAATCACAATGGTGAAGAAAGAGGATTTACAGTAAATGACTTCAAGCATGTCATGTTTTTTAGTACCAAACAGGCTGATCAAGAGGGCTAAAATGCTTTGTTGAGGCCAGAGGAGAATGATTAGACTGCTTGAGAAGTCTCGAATTCTGCTGCAATATTCAAATGAAAGTAAACAACAATAAAATATGGATTCTTCCTGCCATGTAACAATGTTTCAATCTGGTGGTGGCGGTGAAATTGTATGGGGGCATTTTGTTTGGCACGCTTCCCAGCAAGCATTTTTTTTTGTATTTAATAGACATCTAATACACATCTGAACATAAATATGTTGGTTTAAACAGGACTAAATTTGGGCTGAAAAGAAAACCTAATAGTCTAATAATAGTTCTAAAATAGAGGCATCAAATTGACGACTGAATGACTACATACACATGTGTAATCAGTCTAATCTGTCAGCTGAAAAATCTGCAGCAACTGGAAATATGTATTGAACAAGTCACCATTTTTCTCAGGAAACACATTTCTAAAGGTGCTGTTGACTTGAAATGTTCACTGGATGTTGGTAACAACCAAATAAATCCATATATGCCAAGAAATCAAAACAAATTATTATTCAAAGTGAGTTAGGTGTAATAACATTAAGTGACGCAGTGAAAAAGTATTGAACACATGAAGTAAGGAAAGTGTAGAAAGGCAGTGAATCCCCAGACAGCAGCTGAAATCTCTTATTAGTTAGAAAGCAACCCTCTGCCCTTCGTCATTAAAATTAATAAAAAATAAATAATTATTAGCTGCTTCAGTCCAACATCTACATTTAATGGGATGATGAAGATAAAAACTGGGGTGGAAATTTGATCAAGACATCTGATCCAAAACACAGCCAAAAAAACTCTCAAATGCTTTCAGAGAAAGAAAATTAAGCTGTAGAATGGCGTAGCCAATCACATCACCTGAATGAATACACTGCAAAAAAATACAAAATAAAGATCAGATTTGATAAACAAGACCGACAGAACCATCACGATTTTACACTCTGTTGAAGTCTGTAAAAAATTACACCTGAGCAATGCATGTAGCTTTAATTCCACATGAGATGCAGCTTTAAGCTGCCATCTCTAAAAAAGCCTTTTATATAAAAGTATTAAATACATTTGAGCAGTTCAGTACTTTCTCCTTGTGTCATTCCATTGTTATTACACATAACTTATATTTCAATTTGTATTGTTTGGTTTTTACAAAAACCTGGTCCAACTCCATGTCAACAGATCCTTTAGAAATATTATTTCCCCAAAACATGACATGTTTAATACTTATTTCCCCCACTGTATGTCATCATGGCCAAAGTCTTATATAAATGTTTCCACCATTCTCAAATACATACCAGTAAGAATTGAAGTAATTCTGTAGGCAAAAAGGTAAAAACATATTACTTAGCAAGGTTTACCTGTTTTGCCAATTTCATGTAAATATTTATATTATAATATGATCTTTGTTTTTACATAACTTCCTCTAAAGTGGCTTTAGTGTGATGTTAGTCTCCTGCTGTAGTGCCTTTGCTTTTTAGAATAAAAAAAATGTCACGATGTAATTTTTGTTTATAGATTATTTACTTATTTAACCAGAATGGTAAACATGTTGTTGCCATTATAGGTCATTTTAACAGCCAACCTGCCTTTTACTAAGGACCCAGGAGGAAAGATTTTTACGTCGATGGATGCAGGTCTGACGTTTAGATCAGTGCAGCTTCAATTTCACCCAGCACAGGCCATTCAATTCTCTTTACTAGACCCAAAATACCTTGTGGTCATCAGCATAGATGTGAGTACGGTTTCACCTCCTGTTTCATCAAGCCCCCTTAACTACTTGTGAGATCTTTAATGCTCTCCTTATTGTATTTTTCACTTAGCTGTCTTTATGTGGCTTAATCTCTCTTTAGGATGGGCTGTGGCTCTCAGAAGACTTTGGGAACAATTGGTCTAAAGTTCATGAAGGAGTGCACACATTCACATGGTGAGAACAATTAGTAAGAGGATGCTATAAACATCAAAGGAAATCATCTGTGTTTTTAGAAAAATATCTAAATGGGTGACATATGAACAATTCTAGATATGTACCAATATGATTAATTTTAATCATTGATCATGTATTGGATATAGTATGAAAAAGGCAAATATAACATACCAATATTTTATTAATTTATTGTGTGACAATTTGCACAAAATAAAATAGATCCAATCAGTGAAAATCGATAGTTTCTTTAAAATTGTATCAGCCAAAAAATTTAAATCCTACTGTATCCCTAAATAATTGCCAGTTATACATGAATAATTGTCTTTCATTTTTTAAGTAAATATAATTTTCATGTTTATTCTTTTCAAGGGGTTCCGAGAACACTCTTTTCTTCAGTTCAAGCCCAAATGGAACAGGTGCATCTATGTAATTTTTTTGTAAAATAACATAATACGAGTTGCTAGATATAATGCGTCTTCTTTGAGATACATTGTTTTGTTTAGCAAAAAAAAGTTCATTTAATATAATATTTAATAACTGACTACTTATTGGGTTTGATCTAGTGGAGGCAGCAAGACGAGGCGAGCTTATTCTGAGACGGACTTGTGATTTTGGCAAAACCTTTGACACCATTGCCGAGAACATCTTCTCGTTTGGTCACATTGGTAGCTTCTTGTTTACCTCCGTCATGGAAAAACTGGTGTGGAACTTTATAGACAGCATGCACACTTAAGCATGTGTTAACCCACATGAACACACTCCATTTCACTTTCCCGTCTGTGAGAATCATCATTGCTTGCTTAATTTATGAGATGTTGTGTTTACAGGGCTCCCCTCGTGTCATCTATGTGTCGAAAGATCAGGGTGACCATTTCAAAAGAGCTCAGCTACCATCAGCTACTACAGAGCAGGTGTGAATAACACACAAATAAGTATATAAAATATTATATGAATAAATGTATGAATAATTAAATAATTTTCCATATTGTAAGTAATAAATTTTTTTTAAAGTATTCAATATAAATATATTTTGACAGATATTACATTATTTCATATTTATAATTAATAAAATTTAAAAAATATATATTTATTTTATAAAAAGATAATACACTTATTTATAAGTATAAATATTCTTATACTAAATTGAGTTTGTATTTATATTATCAGTAATAATAATGTATACAGTATATCATACTATATATATATATATATATTTGCCTTTTTAAAAAGATGTTTAGTGTAATGCAAGCTGTGCCATAAATCTTTCTTATTTCTTTACATAGGTATTGTAGGTATTTGTATAGTTATAGGTATTTTTCTGCTGATTTTGCAGAAAAAAAACGAACACACAAACAAACAAACACACCGTGCAGCTCTATGACTCACTGTTAATGCTTGATTGCAGTTCTACTCTGTTTTGGATGCTGATGAAGACATGATCTTCATGCATGTGGACAACCCTGGAGGTGCAGTTTCATCTCTCCCCTATATCCTCTATCTCCATCCTGTCAGAACTGTAAAAGAGAAGTATCAGTATAATACACTGTAACAGCACCACCACTGATATTGTCAGTTTAACAATGTGGTGGCAGAACTTGTCGAGCGAGTTCCACTTTGTGCTGACATTTCATTAAACATCTCTTTACAAGTTGCTAGATTCTATTGAGTCAGTGTATATGCTATTCATCATTGAGTCTGGAGATCTTTGGAAGATCACTGGAAAGAGATAAGAGTGAGGATGGTGTTGTCTTTCAGTCACGCTACAGAAAATGCATGCAAATGCACCCCCATTGTATTTACATGCATTCATGACAGTACATAGCTCAAGTGAACATTTATCTTACTTCCCACCATGCTTTTGCATGTCAGTCTGTTTTTCACTGACCGTTTTATTCTCCATTTGCCTCATAACCCCGGTTAGATGCTTTTGTAGTGTGTTTGAATAATGATGGCTTGGGATGATCTCATCTCTTATCTCATCTAAGAGAAAGCTGTGTTGGCGGAGTGTTTATGTATGATGTGCTCTCAACTGATTACAGAAGACACATATTATGGGACAGTCTATGCCTCTGATGAACAAGGAATCCTGTACTCAAAGTCTCTGGAGCGCCACTTGTTTGGTGGGGAGGGGAAAAGTGACTTCACTAACATCACGTCTTTGAGAGGGGTATATCTGACCAACATACTGGAGGAAGGTATGCACACTATTTTCATTCTATTTTAATGGTTAAAGGTTTACCCAAAAGATCACACTTTTCTTCGTAGAGCTACGTTTAAGCTTTTTTTTTTTTTTTTTTTTACAATTTTTGATTGATGTGTTAACCTGAATTTGATGTATTTTCACATTGTATTTATGAATGTTTTAAAGTGTAAATACATTGCTGCAAAGGACTTTCAGTGGAGGGCAGTGGGGGAAAGAGTACTGAAAAATCATACTTAAAAAAATACCATTACTTGCCAAAAATGCTCAAAACATGAGTAAAAAGTAGCCATTCTAAAAGTACTTAGTATTATGCTGTGAAAATTATTCCATCTTTTACCATGATTTTTTTTACTCTTGCTCAAATCAACGCTATTCTCTGTTCTGAGTGTAAGTTATATTATTTGCCATTGTGGAAATATAAATTTCTATCAACTAATTCCAAATGAACAATAATCTACGTATAACTGAAAAGTTATATTCTCTGTTTTTTAATTATATAATTTCATTAACATCCCAGCTAGGAGGGACATTAACCTTTTGTCTGTCTGATCACAGGCTAAGCCAAAGTAATGCAAATTGTCAGTTTCACAGCATGGGGTGTCTATTGTTTTCTCTTTTCGATCAAATGGTCAGGCGGTTTCTGTCTCCAGAACATGATGAGATTAGACCTGAGAAGCAGTTTACCCTGCCGACCACAACCCTTAATTTGCATACTTTGTTTAGCTATATCCCCTCCTCCTAAGAACACAATATAGCCATGAAATCTTTGTCTTAATTCAGACTAATTCAGACTTGTGTGAGACTTGTGAGAGACTTGTGAAAGAACTTGCAGACTGCAGACCTCTAGTAGGCTCATGCAGACACATTAGACATCTTAAAGACGCTGTATGACTGCAGATAAACCAACACGTCTCAATAAAGGAATTCTGCTTGTTTCGAGTCTCCTGGACTGAGTTCTCTCTTCTCTTTTTCACTCATTCATTTATTTTTTTTTTACAACACCATTCACTCACTCACTATCTTTGTTTTATCAGGGGTCACCACAGCAGAATGAACCACCAATGGCAATTACTCTGGCATACATTTTATGCTGCAACACAGAACTTAGAAACACCCATACACACCCTCATTCACACACACTCATAAACTACAGCTTATTTTGCTTACCCAATTACCCTATACCTCATGTCTTTGGACTGTGGGGGAAACCGCCCTATTTGCCATTCATGGACTAAAAATTTTAAAAGTGAGATTAATTTAATCTGAGAACACATTGCAATAAAATATGCACCTATGATAAGTCGGCAGAATGCAGGTTGATGCATTTAACTGTGGAGCAAAATCTGTGTCTAAGGGGCAAAAATCTAGCTGTGACAATATTTTAGTGCTTAGGTTATGCACTTTGAGTGCTGATGAACAAACTACGAGTGTCCAGCAGTTGGAGCCACAAACTAAGCTTGTTCAGGTTTGATAGAATACATGCACTTTGTTTAAGTGTTTGAAAACATGGCATTTTGTAGTGCACTTAGTTATTGTTAAAGGCATTTGCTGATTTCAGTCATCATACAGTAGACATCTTATCAGTAACAAAAAAAAAAGTTGTTGCATGTTACAATTCTGCTTCATCTTAAAAACTTTTAATGCCTCCACGACGTAAACATTTTCTGCATTTATAAAGCATCTGTGTCTTGATGTTGGTCTGTCTGATGTGGTTTTCTATGCATAATTTGATTGGTAATTTGAATATTTGTAATTTCTTTTTTTTTTTTTTTTTAAAGATGACTGAAATACTTATGGGTTTTTAATATCATGAGAGTCAATATATGATGAAAGGACTTTGATTTTCTTTGAACAATCACTTAAGGACGAAATGGCCAATCACAGTTGTAGTGGTGCTGATGTCATTATTAAACAATGTCAAACTGTTCTTGGGCTGCAGGTGGATGCATTCGTTCAGTCATCTCATTCAACAGAGGGGGACGATGGAGATATCTGAAAAAGCCAGAGAATGTCGATTGTCCAGATATGTCGAAAAAGGTAACAACATAGGGTCGGATAAATGAGAAATTACAGCAACGGCTAAGAAGTCTGGGAAGTACATATTAAATATTTTTGACTATTACCCAAAACTGGAAGAATATTTCTTAATTATCATGTATAAAAGATTTGTTTCAATAGCAAATGAAATGGAATGTGAGTGTTAACAGATTTTCTTGGTTTTGCGCATTGTTTGTTGATTGGATTTTGTATATGTTTGGGCATACAAAAATAAAATGGAAAGGTAAAAATGGAAAATAATATAACATTATGCCCCAGGGGCAATTTCAAGATTTTTTGACCAGTTTCATTGGTTAAACTCTGGTCCTTACACCACTCTAGTTTTGAGTTTTTCTTTTAATGATAACCTATTGACAAAAGTTCAAGCATTCCGTTGTATGATGCCTGTTAAAGTGAGAATATTTGAAACAGAAAATAAATATGGTGAATACCAACGTTAATGTTTGCTGTAAAAATATGTTTTCTACTACAGTGTAACCTGCACATCCATGGAGAGCACAGTCATTTTAGTGGAGTCACTCCCATGACGCCTAGCTCTGAACCTACAGCTATCGGTCTGGTCATCGGCCATGGTACTAGTCCTTCCCTTGTACTGTATACTCACAACTTTCCCCAATAAAATAACATAAGTCACTGTTTACATATCTGGTATTAAGATGGATTTTGGTCAATCAGGTGCCAAAAAAACACAGAATAAATATGCCATTATATATCTGTATCGTACCTTTTTGTTCACTTTGAAAAGTGAACTCTAAAGTCTAAATACTGATTTCATCCACTATGAAAGCAATCAGATCAAGTGCTTTTAAACAAGCCCTGGAACTAATCAAAAGTTGAAAAACATTTTAGACCCCATTTACATCTGAAATAAGCATTGTCAACTTGTAAGCTAAAAAAAATTGCAATACCTGCTGTAATCAGAGCCTACATGTTTAATATTATTACAGGGAGTGTTGGAGATTCCATTTCAGCAGCCCGCCCTGATGTATATGTGTCTAGGGATGGAGGTTACACATGGTGGGGAACTCTAAGAGGACCTCACCACTACAGCATACTGGACTCTGGAGGGCTAATAGTGGCTGTGGAGGCGCGCAGAGACAGAGGGATCAGCTCCATAAAGTAACATTTATAAATAAATAAAAAAGTCTCCTTTCATAATAAATGAAGTGGTTTTAAATATTCTGAAAGTCATTTGTGGCTGCCGTCTCATAAAACTGTCATGCATCTGGATGTTTTCAGGTTTTCCACAGATGAAGGGCAGTGTTGGAAGACATTTAATTTCACAGACCACCCGTTCTTTCTGGCAGGACTGGCATCAGAGCCTAGCAGCAGTACAATGAACATCAGTATTTTTGGCTACCGCCTAGATGACAATCATAAGCCTATGTGGGTAGCTGTCACCATAGACTTTGAGCACCTGCTCACTAGAGAGTGTAAGGAACTTTTTAAATATTATGGTCATCATCTTTTTTTGTGCAAATAAGTTGTGGTTAAACACACCATGGAGAAAGACTAGATCCAAGAGCAACACATTTGTTCTGAACATGCCAGCATGGAAATTACTCTCCATACCAGCAGGTGGCACAAGTTGTATTCAATATTGCATTCTATATAAGCTAGGAATGTGGATATACAAACATTAGAAAGTTTAAAAAGCTTATTGCATTCTGGCCATATTCACCATCACTTATTCAGCATGCTTAACTGGTCAAAAGGTTGTTGACAGGGCAAGTCTAGTGTCAGGGGTTTGTGGCGCATTGCAAGCAAACATGCAGACAAAAACTTCCTGAAAGCTTGACAATGTGGACCCACCTTCAGCTGTCACACACTCACAGATTTTCATTGGTGCAAAATGGGAATTGGTTGAATTCTACAGAATTTCTGGTTGATATTGTGTGCATGTAACATTCTTTCACGGTCCACCTAAAAACAAGGATGTTGAGATGTCAAATACCCTCATGGAAGAAGAAAGCTGTTGTGTTTACAATTAACACTGATCAGGATCAGCTAAACACTGGATTATAAAGTATGTGGGAGTTCATAACATAGACATGATGACTGAACACAACATTCTTAAATGAATGTTTAATTAATAATTAAATTAATCATGTTTAATGTATGCGGTGTGTTATGGTTAGGACATCAACTTTACACTTTTCACACCCCTTAATATGAAAAAAGCTTAAATATATATTTTGATTAGTCTTTCAGTCAGCCTTTTGGATGGTTCTTGGCTAATAAAAGTTGGCATAGAGTCTAGACCTACTGCCGTCCGTCTCTAAAAAATTTGTAGTGTGTGCCGGTGAATATATGTAGATGCTAAGTTTTTCTAGGGTGTTGCTAGGTGGTTGCCTACTGGCTAAAGTTTCTATGATCTCTATGATATTGTAGTGCATAGGGCTATAAAAAAGAATTGATTGCTTAGAAAAGTAATGGTATTACTTTCACTTCTCAATATCATTCATATCCACTGTAAGAGTGTATTACTTAAGTCTGCATGAACCAGAAGTTGCTGACACTTTGATTTGAGTTTGTTGTTCTTCCAAATTAAACAGACTACCGAGTAGGGGCGGGGCTTATTTGCGCATCATTCCCTCATAGCAAACTAATGGGGGGCTTAGTTAAGAATATTGTGGTTGAAGGCATCAAACTGACATGATCAGACTCTTCAAATTACGAAAATAGTCAGACTTTGAAAATTACCAAAACAAACTTTTTTTTTTTGTGTGTGTGGAATATCTTGTAATTGTTCACATAAAGACAATGTGTGCTAGAAAGATAAACATTATAAATTTTGATTTATCATGGACCTATCATGGAGAGTTTTTATAATTCATTTTTATAGGTAATGATCAGGATTATGTGACGTGGTTGGCACACTCCAACTACAGTTCTAACCCAAAAACAGATGGATGTCTCTTGGGCTATAAGGAGACATTTAGAAGACTTAAGACACTGTCTGCATGTAGAAATGGTAGAGGATATGTGGTCAGTAGACAGCAGAGTCCATGCATTTGCACCAGTGAGGACTTCATGTGGTAGGAAACTTATACCATGGTTAGATTTATACATTTGCTTGTGACTAAATAAAAATGCTAACATCTCTCAACAGCGACTATGGATTCTATTGGCATGAAAATAGCTCAGCGTGTCTCCCTCAGCCCGACTTTCTGAATCAAACCCAGGATTTTTGTTTGAATGTAGACCTGCAGACTACAGGGTGATGAAATACATCTCTGTTTCTGTTAACACATTCTTGAACACACACACACGTACACATATTACACTGTTATAATAATAAATTTTTTATAGATATCGCAGGATTCCCGGAGATAAATGTAAGGGGAGTTTCAGCCCTCCAAGAAATGAAGAGGCTCACCAAAAGCTTTGTGGGAATGTCACTTCCTCAGATTCACATACAGAGATACCAGTGAGTGGTCCATTTCTCATAAGAATAATAAGTTACTATACAGTGGCCAAAAAAACACAGATATTCATTGTTGTGTAGAGAATAAAATTAATCCAATAAAGGAATTTTTTGTCTTATGATTTGCAGCCAGCCATACTGGCTCTTATAGTGGTGTGTAGTTTGGGCATCATTTGTTTGGTTATTATAGCAGCTTACATGATCACTTCAAGAAGAATAAACTGTGGCCAAAGGTAAGGTCATTTGATAAAGCCTTGTCCAGCTTTTGTTTTATGTTACATCCATTTGAAACTATTGTCTGTATATTACATACTAAAGATTTCTCGTCAACTTCTGCCTCCTGCAGGTCGCCGGAATATAACTTTTCTGTTCTGCAAATCCAAGAAGACGACCTGTCCGTTAACAATGAAAGCACCCCCAATGGCAAACTAAACGGTTTCCAGGTCCAGGAGGACTCAGATGATGTGAGCTTGATCAAACAATAATATCATGCCTCCATTTAGTTAATGGCTATTGTAATAATTAACCTAAAAACCTACTTAATCTTCTTACACTCGTTATTCCAACCTTTGTGCTTTGTTTTTTATTTTGTAGGAAGTACTTTTTTAAAAATAATTTATTGCATTTGTTTGCTTTTATTTTTCTCTATTTTTCTTTCTTTCTTTTTTCTTTTCTTTTTTGGTCTTCTTTAGGATCTCCTTGAATGAACAACATTTAAACTGTGGAAACTACTCAGGCTTTGAAAACAGGTGTTTGCAGGCAGATATGCTTCAAATAAATTTCAAGCCTAGTCACTGTAACTGGAAGATAAAACACCTGAAAATAATAGTGAACTGCATTTATCAACCTGAGCTCTTGTTTTGTCCTATCAAGTGTATTATGCAAGTATCTGAGGATAATGCATGTATCATTGAAAGTGAATTTACTTTCACCCTCTCTGTCTTTTGCACTGGACTCATTCATATTCCCTCAGGCTGCTGCTGGTATTACTCTTGAGCTTTGGGACTATGTATCTAGACAAGTCTACTGTTTTTATTAGTAAATAAATTAAAATGAATTTAAAACAAACACTGCATTATTCATTATTTTGCAATCAACAATCATATTTGAAAAAAAAATGCAGAAAGTATTTATATAGAGTAAAAGTTATTTTGAATGTTATTAGCAATTTACTAGTTATTAGCAAACTAGTTTGCATATATATATATATAACCATATATAAGGGATTTATTACTTACACAATTTAATTCTGTCAATGTTTACTCATTCTCCACTTGTTCCAATGTGTACACTTAACACCACCCCTTACCCTGTATACCCTAGCAGTGACGTCACTAGCTCTATTGAGTGCATGTGTCTTAGACTGCATGTCTAAAATTGCATGTCTCAGCTTGCATGTGCAAGTCAGCAGTCATACTCACACAAGATATTATAAAAAAAAAAAATCTTGGAAACAGGTAGAAATTGACTTGCATAGTTGTACTATGTCAATTGCAAACATATTTCAAAATGTCTCAATTTTCTTTTTTTGATGGGTGAATTACTCCTTTAAAATAACCAACACTTTAATAATAACTTAATACCACTACAGACAAACAAGAAAGAGATCAGTCAGTTCTCAAACAATCTTGCACATACTTTGAATACCACGCCACTATGCAACAGAATGTCACACCTATTCGCTGAAACACCAGTCACTCTAGATTAGAGAATTAAAACAAAAAGGGTATGCAACCTAATAACGTGTGTTTACAGCCTATTGAATATGTATATAATTTACACTTAAAACAATATATAATTTCATATTTTTTCATAGTTTTCTTAAGAACGGATAATCTAAATCTCTGAATTTACATATATTTTGAATGTCTTTAAAATAATGACAATTTCATGTTATTTCGGGATATATATTTTTGACCAAAGGGGTTTTTATCAACAGAAATTAAGACCGAAACTAATGATTTATTTTTTTATTGAATACAAGAATAATAACATCACTGCATTGAAGAAAAAATGCAATAACAAAAAATAAGAAAGAAGAGGGAGACAAAAAAAATTCAAAGTCTCAGTCATTAAGAAAAAAGATTATCATAAGCTTTAAGAAACTTACTATTCTTATTATTATTAATAAGCTTAAGATATTCATTATTGTATGAAATTTCAACAAGGAAAGTGTTGAATATAGGTATTGTTTTTAGAAACTTATTTTTGTGTATAAAAAATTTACAGTGTAACACAAAACAATTACACTAAGATCGAGAGCATGATCATCACCCGAGAAATACAGAAATATATCTTTTATAGACAAATTTAAATCATGTTTAAATAAGGACGATAAATAAAAAATAATGTTATTCCAAAGATGTTTAATGTGAGTGCAACTATAGAATAAGTGGAATAGTCTCTTCATGTATATTGCAGAAAGTACACAAATTAGATAAATCGAAGAAATTCGCAATTTGGGAATTTGTAGGATAAACATTATGCAAGATCTTAAAATGTATCTTATTTTGTTGGATATGCTGAATTTTTCAGGTAAAAACCATGCTCTCTTCCGTCGAATGCAATTAGAAAAATTGCTCCAGAAAAATTTACATCTTGGGGAGGTATATAAAGAGTAATGTAACAATCGTCTGACATGTCTGTTTTTTTTTTTGTGTGTGTGTCAAAAAAGACACTCCATCCAAAAAACGTTTAGGCATAATTGTTTCCCTCTCATTAAAGTCAAGAAACGTTTTAAATAAATGCACATAACTTTGTGACAAACTCTTTATAACACAGTTGAAGGATTTAGCTGACAAAGGGAAGTTATACAATGTCATAAATTCTTCATATTCCAAAATATTGTTATCATTTTAAAATAAGTCCAAAACAAAAACAACTCCTCTTTCAAACCACCTATCAATAAAAAGAGATTTCCCACAAGTCAAGGCATCAGAGTTATTCCAAAGAATTTCTTTGTGTGGGGAAAAATTGTGCACACAATTTCTAAGCAAGTAAAGCTTGTTTGTGAAAGTTAGAGAGGGAAATTGGGAATTTAGAAGGGATGAAATTACATTTTAAAAGAAAGTCTAAGCCACCTAATTTATCAAATATAACATTGGGAATATAGTACAGACCGAAACTAATGATTTATAGAACACGCCCTTTCCTCATGACGTTTTGTCAAACACGCACGCGAACCCGGATGTGTCGGGAATCGGATATTCAGCGCTGTGTCGCCGTGGCACCAGGTCCGTATCCTTTTCTTATCTTCTTTATTTAATAATCGTCAAACGTAAATTTTAGATTTGCTGGTTTATACGCGGGTTTTCATTTTTTTATGTGTTTGAAGTTTTATTCATGTGTTTGTGCATACGTGTGATGCTAAAAGCTACTACTAAAGTCAGCTAACACATAAACTTAAACCAGTGCAATGTTCTTAATTGTTTTACTTGTTAGCTAAGTAAAATTTATAGATTAGTTAGATAAGTGTTATTTGTTTGATGTTTTCTGGGGAGAATTACTTCATACATCATGACAGATGAAGACGAATACATGCATTCATAATCTGTAAAAACAAAAAGTAGTTGTTGATTATGAATTTTGCAAAGGCTAGTGCTGATATTATCTTAAATCATGTTATTACAACATTTGTGTATTACTTCCTTTTTAATTTTATGTTAAGTATTTTTAAAGATTAATCTATTGCATTTATTTGCTTTTATTGCTGTTCTTTCCTTTCTTTATTGCCTCTCTCTCTCTCTCTCTCTCTCTCTCTCTCTCTCTCTCTCTCTCTCTCTCATAAGACGCTGAGAACTGGTTTTACAGAGTATTTTAATGATAAAAGCACAACCAAGTTGACCATCTATAATAATAAGTACATTAAGACTATGTATGTGAACCATAAAGCTAAAGCTAAATTTTAATCAGCCTGGCAGTTGGTAGATTAAAATGTAGCTGTATAGTGTAGCTGAAATATTTACGAATTCAGGCTTTGGTTACATAATGATATTTGATATCATGTCAGGTGTTTGGATCTTATTGTGGAGACTGGTGCCTGCTGATCCCTCAGGATGATGCGAGCAGGAGGTGTGTCCTGTTTAATTTATATGCAAGTATCAGTAGGCAAATATTTGCTCTTTGGTCTGTTTTTTGTGGCATTGTATGAATAAAAGCAGTGTAAAAATATTTCAAACTTATAATGAATCCTAGTAATATTTTATTGTACAAAAATGTAGGTTATGCAAAGTATAATACTATAGTTTTAATGTAGTAACATTTGGTTTTGTCATTATTGGTATCTAAACTGAAGTTATTTGCATTGTACTATTGGTTTAGCATTGTTTTCTGTTTTAACAGGACTTTTGAAACTGGGGGTGCTGGTTTCTGTCTTATTTGTAGCTGTGTTCCTGGCCTTTGAGCTGTTGGAGAGCAATATGAATTTTAATTTGGGAAAAGTCTTTAGTGAGTTTATCTTCTGCAGCATCTATTACACACCAAATGCACATCCATCATGTTCACATTACAGCTTATTTAGTTTCCAGTTCACCTTTTACTGCTTAATCTTTTTCACACACATTCAGTAACACATGTAACAACTGCACTCAACAGTTGAATGAAACCTAAACCTAGAAAAAAACATATGCAGTGTGTTCAGAATTAAACTGATAAAAGAACTTTTAATTACATGTTTAAACGCATATATATATATATATATATATATATATTATACTGTAGGTGTCTCTTCTACTATACATGAATTAGGGCACATCTTGACTCTTTAGTGTTGTCAGGTCCTGCTAGAAGGAACAGTAAATCACAAACTAGAATTAAAACGCTTTATCATGGAAATATTCCACATACCACAATATTACTACTTGCACCTGCCTGCGTTAACAACATCATAACTTAAATAGCTTAAGCCCAAAGAGGCTTAATAATCATCACTTATGATAAGTGGATGTGGTGTGGTAACACTTAACAAACAGTCCACTGCAAACAGTCATCCACAAAAAAAAAAACACACACACATCTCTGTCAGTGGTGGCTTATTTAAAATCTTGTCAAGAGTGAGATGGGTTCACAATCGGTACACAAAACTATTTAGAGAATTCACTCTAGTATTTAAAAGTGGTTGTCACTCCTGAAGTGCGTAAATGGCCTTTACTAACTCAAACTACATGCAGTTTGGGCTCAAAGTAACATAACATGCTGGTTTAGTTAAGAAATGGCTTAGAGTTACCATATCACACATCTTTCAGTGTTGACATGCCACATTACAATTGGCTAATCAACGTCTGTTTCCCTACAGCACGATATGCACCTCCAGATGCAGTCCGTGAGTACATAATTGTTTTTTTTTTACTGCATATGAGAATAGATTTTTAATCATGCACCTTCTGAACTTTTGTTCAGAATTCAATATAAAATTTCTCTAAAAAATTATGTATCTTGGGGCTGTGAAGAATCATTGCTAAACATTTTAAAACAATAAGAGTGACTCCTAGGTACGATAGTGGTATGTGTAGTGGGATTTTTGTTCTGTGATGCGAATAGCACGAAGATAATATTAATGGAGATCAGGAACAATGTACCAGGGTTGTCACACAGGATGTGTTGGATAGCTCAAACATGTTAATGTAGGCGTGTTTAGGTGTGGTCTACATTTTAGCTTCACGTTAAGGGTGCTTTCACACCTGAGGGGTATTGCAGAAAAGCAAGGTAAGGGAATAAAATGGTTTTCTAGTTATTCTGGCAAACATTTAGGCCTGACTCCATAAAAGCAGGCTTGATTATTTTGTTATTATGCTGTTCATGTGGCTGTCAGAGGTTTAATGAATGCATACATTGTTGCAGTTTGTGAGATCATAAGAAATGGGTGATTAAGTTGCAAAGACAGTTTCAATTAAAGTTTATTTTTTTTGAAAAAGACAGTTTCTCTTGCTGGCCCAGAGATAGCGTGTAAATATATTTTTTTCAGTAATCAATTCGCTTACCAGCCTGCAAAATGTTCTTGCAGTTACACTTAATTTGCTGCCAGGTCCTTTTTAGACCAGAATTGTTTGTTCTGTATAAGATTGGTTAATAAATTGATAAGTATTAGAAAGAAATAATAGTAAATAGATGAGGAATTAAAAATACCTGGTGGATCTTTGGTAAAAACTCTTTTCCAGAAATCACGAATATTGTCTCAAAATGGTCAATTCGTATAATGGCCGATGACCGCTAATGTGTGTAATCTTGTAAAAAAACCATGGAACTGTGACCAATGAGAGGGTAGTTTCCTTACACATAAATTGTATAAACAATTTTGGTATGTTTTCAAGTTTTGAGATATGAAAGAGAACCACATGGAGAATAAAAAGTAATGCTAACAATTGTAATCCCTGTATTAGAACAAAGCGATTGATCTACAGGTGTGAAAGCACCCTAAGAAAATGTGTCACAAGACAAGATGATTCATAGTGTGCATAGACATGCAATGAACACAGAAGACAAGAACATGATTAAGTTATGCTTTCTAAATATAAAATACATATTTTGATGATGTTTTCAGCCACCAGACCACTGCGCCACAAATGCGGCCTATCAAAATCATGTCCTGAGGACCATTTTGCCTTTAAGATCACCAGTGGAGCAGCCAGTGTTGTCGGCCCAAAGATGTGTTTTCAGGACAATGTGTAGGTCTAACATGCATTTCTTGCGCAATACTATTGCATAAGCGATATAGAAATACACATACAACCTTGTAAAAGTATTTTAATGTTGGTTTTGTGCATCTTGAGCTGATTTTTGACAGCTGCTATTGATTTTTTTCCCCCCCTTTTATCAGAATAATGAGCGGTGTGAAGAACAACATTGGACGCGGTATAAACATTGCTTTGCTCAATGGTACGCTACGTTTTTGTCCTCAGAAACATGTTGATGCTGAAACTTTACGACTGAAGGTGGTCAGAAAATGTATTAATAGTGGTTAATAGTCAATTAGTGTGTGTATTTGTATATAGATACATATTGACAGAAATCAGAGGCCATTCATTAATGCAGTTTATTTATAGGGAAGACCGGCGAGCTCACTAAGACTGACTCATTTGACATGTGGACTGGAGGTAAATCTCGTTTTGCATCCTTTATCTGTTTTCCTTTTGCACATTTTGCATTATAAGCTTTTTATTTTATTTATTTGTATTTTTTTTTAGCTTTTTTTGTTTAACCCTATAACTGTCAAATATCCTATAAGGTGACAGCATTTACACTATTAAAGTAACACAAACGTGTTTATGACTACCTGTGGTAGTGGTCAAAATTTGACATGATCAAAATGTGTCAGAGCCAATATAACATGTACTTGGAATAGTCCACCTGTGTTCGGATCAATGAAAATGCATTGTTATACCTTATAGGCTGTAAAAAAACATGGATGTGTGTGAAGAGCATTTTTGAACCGCCAAAGTGGGCAGAGCTAGCTGTCATCATCTTAGTAGCACATGAATTACTCCCAGATAATTAAAAATGGGACAAGATGCAGGACATTGGTGGAGTTAGAGATCCTAGGTTTAAATTCTTAATGTTTATTTACGTTATGTATAACTAATATTTACTGAGTTTGGTTTTTAAAAACACAATGTTAATACATTAAAACATGTTAAGTGTCATAATGGTTTTATAGAGAAAAACACCTTTTGAATAATTACTTTTAGATACTTTTAATATAGTCTGTATTAGTAAATAGGTTAGACTATTTATGAAATCAAAAAAGTCTGTGGTTTTATTATATGTTCTATCATTTATTTTGTTGCATCATGAAAAAGCTGCAATCTTGAATGTACATTTACTTTTTATTTAGCAATATTTTTATGTTGGACCGGTAATTATATGAATCTACAAAGTTTTGAGTAGATGTAAAAACAAAAAAAATGTATGCTTCTCTTGGTTTTTTCTGTTTATACAATTTTCATTTCATATTTTCACCCAACATATTAATTTGGGTGTACTAAATTTTGTGAGGGGTGTACTCATTTATGCTTTCTGGCATATGAGATGATAGCTTGTATAGTGATACTAGATTTTTTTCATATCACCCAGGGCTAGCCATTTGCTAGTCTGTGAAATGTAATATTAAGTCACATGCAGTTAATCTTTTTAAATGATCTTGTATTTTCTAGATGTAAATCTTCTCATCAAATTCTTGAAGGACATAGAAGATGGAAGCATTGTCATGATGGCCACATTTGACGACCCTGCAACAAAGTAAATTTTTTTTTTGGTGAAATCTTTACAGATCTGTCTGGGATCTTTTATTAAATGCATTTAATTTTAATTTGTTCTGAACAGGATGAATGACGAGGCCAGAAATTTGATAGCAGATTTGGGCAGTTCAAGCATCAGCATATTAGGCTTCCGAGATAACTGGGTGTTTGTTGGAGGCAAAGGAATCAAGACAAAGAGCCCCTTTGAGCAGGTAAAATCACCTTATGGCTTCTTTTTAGATTTAAATTTGGAGTAAAAAATATTTAATAAGCCATCGCATACTTTTCCAGCACATCAAGAACAATGCAGAGACTAACAAGTATGAAGGATGGCCAGAAGTTCTGGAGATGGAAGGATGCATTCCTATAAAGCATGACTGAAATCAACCTTATTTTAAAATAATTTAGCTGTTCCTGGTGGAGTTTGAAGAAAATTGAATGAGCAATGTGTTGTTGAATTGACATTTTCAATGATGCAAGTAAGTGTAGAATATAGACTTTGAAGGACTGTATCTTATATCTTAAGGTTAGAAGTCCTGAGCATTTGCTGCTCTCTATTTATATTTATTTTATGGGGTTCCCACTCCTTTTGATCAATGCATTTCTATTACTTTTCTGTTGTACATGATCCCTAGATTGAGATTTTTTTAATTAATTGCAAGTACAATATGTAGCCAGTGAAATATTTTAAAACTTAAATATAAAAAATTACGTTAACCAAAGCTATTTTAGTAACTTCAAAAATTGTTGTTTTTCCACCAATGGAAAACATTTCTAAAATGTCATGCTTGCGGAAAACCTGATTCATAGGTACTCTTTATTTTTAAAGCTGGTCCATAAACTGCCATTGTGCTGCCATTTGTGAACCTCCAGTGTCATAAAAAGAGATATAGGAATCAGAAGGTTTGAGTGCCTGTTGTCTTATAGTCTTTTGTACTACAAATAGAGAATTAAGGAAGAGGGTTTGTGCTCATTTTAATCATAGCACCATGACAATGTTGATCAGAATGGATTGAAGATACACGGCTTAGAGCTGTTGTTACCAAAAGATTGTTTTTACATTATTTATTATTTTATGTTTATCATACTGTTTCTACTGGCAAAGACAGTTTGAATGTTGAATGGTAGAGAATGAAGATTTTTTTTCCCCCACTTTGCATTTAATTTACAAGATTTTTTTTGTACTAAAAAACTACTGTCTTCAGTTTTTATAATAATTTTATTTTTAATAGCTTCAGGGAGTCTTGTTACATTTTGGTGATTTGCATTCAGAGATTTTTCGTTTGTCGTTTTATTCGGCCAAATTTTTTTTTTTTTTTTTTTTTTGCATTTTAAGAGTTTGAGCAGCAGCTGTTATATGCAGTTAGTGCTGATATTACACTATTATAATTTAATATAATCTTTTTTTTATTGTGCTTTATGCAATATCTGTAGTATGTCCTGTATTGTGAATTTACAAAGCCAAAAGATCACCTTGTTGTTAATATTGTTAATGATTGCCTGTATGATTTTTAACTTTACTTACACTGTGAAGTTGTGCATGATACATTTTTTTTGTAAGAAAACCAGCTGTGTGCCTTACTACAGTGATAATATATGCAAAGTGATTTTGTCTAGACTTTTGTGTGGAGTTGTTGATTGCACGTCATGGCCTTAATATGTATAGCTGTACTGAGGAGTTCTTTATTATAAATTAAATTTAAATCAAGTAAACTTTGCATTCTGTGATTGTAGAGTCTTTCCTTAAAATACGACTCAAGCTTTTTAGGGTGTTTCGTAATAAAACAAATGACTTGCTTTCATTTCTGGGTTTTGTCTTACCTTTTGTTTAGATTAAAGCAGAGAACTCCCAAGAATAATCCTAGCATCTGTTCTGCCTCATCAAAGCATGATGCACACATCCAAAATGGTACATGTGTTTATAAAAGAGTTTGCAGATTCCTGGAAGGCGTCCACTCGGCTCTCATTGGCCTAGGAAAAGTCCAGAGAAGGTTTCAAAGCACACAGCCGTGCAAGAAAAAGATTAATTTAGCTGACAGCTGAACTGATAAAGCTCATTTCACTCAATAACAGATTTATTCCATTCTGAAAATATCAAAATATATAGGTACTGATGTAGGCAACAACATAATGTACAGACACAGTCTATACAAATGTCAACGTGTTATTAGTTTAGATTTACTTTTATGCCATCAGTGAATACCATTTATTCTGACTAGTCACATGGGAAAATTATATCCATTCTTAATTTTGACTAAATTGAAGTGCTCTGAAACATGGCAATTTATATATCCTGCAGCATGTGTCCTCGTTTACCTATTCAAATCCAGCATCATTATAATGGCATGTGGATATATAGCCACTATTAAGAAGTGCATGAAACGAAGTGCCGTTTTATCCCTTATGAAAATCAACAATGGTTTTTACCACAAATTAAAACAAACAAAAACATGGTGACAACAAATTCAGCAGTTTAACCATGGCATTTTAGTCAAACTGTTTATAGAAATATTGATAAATACGCACAGGAAAAAAACACTACACTTTTAATAAAAACGATGGTTAATTTTCATAAGGGATTTCAGAGGGAGAAACATTTTGGAGCTGTAACGTTAAAAGTTTCAGGTTTGACTCTGTTTGTTCCTTTAATAATTTTAAGATGACAAAAAGCAAACATTTGTTATGCCACACAAAAACGTTGATATCCGTTATCGTCGACTACTGTAACGTTATATCACCTTGCGCAACGTACGTTATTGTGCTACTCAAGTAATCCACTGTCTGACATAATTATGTTGGCTTTAAACATGATACTCATTACACTTCAATGACATACTGTATCGAGTTTAAATTATCTTTACCTGAATTTCGCAAATATAACGTTGTAATAACGGACACAAGATGGCGCCAGCCAGGTGTGTTACTTTAATAAGTGCCTCCGGTTTCGATTGAACGTGCTTATGTACACCGCTGCTAAATGGAAACTGAGATTGGCCAATCAGAATCAAGTATTTCAGGTCGGCCTGAATTACGCGCTTATGTCGCTGATATTCTCGCTTAAAATTTAAATTAATACCAATAACAATGTAATAATAAAAATGTAAATGTTTGCACTCCAGAGCAAAAGGATGTGAACATAACGCCCGTGTATATATCTTGAACGACTCAGTTATTTTCTGTTGAAACAGAATCAAACCCAAAACAGTTTTAAAAGAGAAATTTTTGAAAATGTATCATCATTAATAGTTAAATATCATTAGCTGTGTAGCTAAAGCTTTTCTTGGGTGAATAATAGGCTTTAAATGTACAGAAACAGTCCGGACACATGACCAGAATTGAACAGAGCAATATTTTGGTTGCTGAAGATCACATAAATTAGAATCTCTACAATATGTAAAATAATATTGGTTAAAGTTAAAAATAAGAATTTTTTAAAACAGTTAAAAGAAAAAAAAAAAAAGGCAAATACATACTTTTGGCTTCGGAAACAGACCTATTTGAACATGTCATAAGATATAAGAAGCAGTTCATGGAGGATTACACTCCAGAGGCAAAGATCATGAAGAGCAGAAGAAAAAAAAAACATGGTGTTCCAATGCATGATGGGAAACTCCATACTAACACCTTAATAAGTGCAAAATAAATAATGCAATATCCCAATCCTGTGATCCAACAGATTTGGTACCATCATAAGCTTGCAGAGATATGATGCGTGAAATGAGATTCCCGGACGAAGTAATCACAATGTTCAAGATGAAATCTTTCAAGAGGTGGATCTTGGTATTTCCAACATGAGCTACCGGAAGGTTCTGAGACAAGTTTGTAAAGTCTTTCTGACAGCATTTAAGAAGAGTTCTTATTTAAAGAAAGAAACAAAATCTGATGATGCATAACACTGTCCTGTGGAGAATTACTTAAGGGAGAGTATACTATAAACTTCGGGCAAATTTTTTTGGCCTCTGAGGGAAAAATAAAACAAATAAATTAAATTGGCATACAATAGAGATATGAATGAAATTGTGGGGGCGGTGACCCGCTTACATTTAAAAACAGACTTTGAGTCAAACCCTTCTGTCCTGTTACAGGAATTCTGAAGGATTTGTAACTTAAGGCAAAGGTTATTATGATTACTTTTAGCTTTTAAACCCATGATTTAGTTTTTAAAAAGCTCAAGCAGAAGATTCACAAGAAAATTAGGTAGAAATTGCTTGGTTAATCCGATGGGAAAGGGGGGAAAAAAAACTAAACAAATGTAATGCAATACAATCAGAAGGTCCCGACTAATAGCCAGAATGTTCTTGGAAAAACAGCTGCTTGTATATGCTTGATAAATAATGTTACGCATGCAGTGGAAAAGTCCAAAAATTTAAAGAGGCACACCCCCACCATGAATGTATAGTTTTCGAATGAGTCAAATTTAAATTAAAAGGCTAAACATTATTGCACAAGTGCCAACATGGACACCATGTCAAAGTATCGACTCTAAATTCATACATTTCCGCCCCAAAGCACTTCAGAACATTCAAATACATGATTCAATGAGATTAGGCCATAATATGTTAAAAAGAAAAAAAAAATCATAAAAGTGAACTTGGAGGGGCGGTGACCTGTGCAGAAAAGTGTCAAGCATTACAGAACACTTCAGTTGTGCTTCAACATACAGTAAACTGTCACAGAGGCTGTTGTCAGGCAACGAGGCTTTCAATTTTGCATGACGATGTTCAAGACGTTATGCCGTGAAGGATGAGCCTGTGCTTTCCAATTAGACCTTCACATCCCTGTTTTCTAACATCCAAGACTGATCATGAAAAATAATCCAGAAAAATTACGTAAGGGAAACATTTGAGGGGGAGAAGGAAAAAAAAAAGTCCTGACAGATCCTGTAATCACACGGTCACTGCTACATTTAAAACTGTGCATATCTCATACAAAGTTGAAAGGATTAAAAGACTAACACCTCTGAGCACTGTACTGGTTACTGGTTTTTGTTACATGCCCCTGTCTTCCTCCTCCAATGATGGGCTGATTGGCAGTATCCAGGACCAATAACATGGCAGCATTCTTTATTTAAACACCAAAAGTGGTATTGAGGTTTGGGGGTTCAGAATGGAAGAGGTGGAGAGTGGGTCAGACTCCAATCCAGAGCCTTCAGACCGGTCCGTTAGGCATGATCTCAGCTGAAGAGGGAGCTTCGACTCTGTAAAAGAATGAGAGGGGGAGATTAGGAGAGGGTGGAGGGAGTTTGTAGTTATTGTATAACAAGCTTGATATGTTATCACTGTTACCTTGTCTCTGTCACAGTGGTGGCATCTGACTCTTCTGTAGGCGCTGAAGACTCGCTACTGTCTGTAATGCTGAGCTTCTTCAGAGCTTCGGTAGGCACATCACTGCAGAGCAAAGGGTCAGAATCAGAATACTTTCAGACAATAAAGCTATTGCAGCTAGTTACACAACAAAAATCTGTTTGTAGGCATAACTAAACCAGGGTTTCTGCGGGTTTCTTCAAGTCAAATGTAAGTAATTTTTAAGACCCTTTAAGACCATTAAGATAGACATTTATTTATATATGTTATTAATTTATTTAGACTTATACAAAGTTTAACACTAAGGGCCCTATCATACAACTGGTGGAATGCGGCGCAAGGCGCGACACAATTGTTGTTTGCTAGTTTTAGCTTTGCGCAAGAGTTGTTTTGATGTTTTGCAGCACGCTATTGAAATAGCAAATGCATTTGCGCTCTGGATGCATTTGTATAGGCGTTCTGGTCTAAAAAAGGAGGCGTGTTAAAGCACATTGCTGGCGCGTTGCTATTTTAAGAAACTATAATAGACTTCACAATAGACCGGATCAAACCTGGTCTAAAGTCCGCTAGTTGTGTGCCTCGCTTAAACATTGCTTAATACACAGGATGTACAGCAATCAGAAAATATCTTTACAAATGAATGAAAAAGAATAAAGGATTAAAATGTTTCAAAAAAATATTATTTTCTAGCCTACATAAATATAAAAACCACTGCCTCCAAGCCTTCTTTATCTCAGGAGGGCTTTTTTATTTTTTTCATGACAATTTGCTTTTGTATATTATTAGTAGTAGTAGAAGTATTTATTATATGCATATTTATATTTGTTTTATTAAAAACAAGCTTAGATTTGCCTACCTGTCAGGTTTTAGACCATATGGGGCACAGCATGTGTATTTGGATATAACACAGTTTTTTTTAACCACACTTCGTTAATATTGTTAATTTGTTTGTTTGAGGGAAATTAGAACTGAATTTAGAAACAGTTTTGAGACAAATCTTTGCGCTTAATAAACTAAATTAAATATGTATAGCCTAATGGATGTCTGTGCGTACAACACGTTTCCCTATCCACGAGAGTGAAAAAGTGAAAGTAAAGAATGAGGAGGCTCATCTCTCATTCTCGCACTGTAGATGCTGTTTATCTGTTTTCTCTCTAGTGAAGCACTCAGTTTTTCCAATAACAAAGTCGCCATGTAAATAGCAAATGCGCTATGGCATGACGCAACTGACTCCTTAAGGGAATGGGACATGAGATTCTGATTGGTTTATTCTCAAAACACACCTATAACTCATTAAGAGAATAAGCTCAACCCTGTTAAGACCATGCGCCACGGCCCTAGGCGGATTTTTCCGTCCTTAAAAGAGCAAAAGTGGATTCTGACATGCCCTGAATGCTTTTGCTCCCTGCGCTTTGGACTTTGCACCTTGATCATCAAAATAGAGCCCTAAAGATTTTTTCTAATGACCTAGTTACTTCTGTAAATAGTTTTTTTCTATT